CATATGAAACACTCATGTAATAATGATTTACAGTACTTACGCAATTGTTTTGTCACTTGATTTCTTTTCATTGCTTTTGTTGTCTTTTAAACCTATCATGAGTGAAAATCAAATGAAAATTTCTGAAACTACAAGGTATATGAAGCTGAAACTTTGTATGAATGATCCAAAGTATGATCTCTAAAATATTTATCACTGAATCCTGACCCGAAGTTAAACATGGGTGCCATGGCGGCCATATTGAAAGGTAATTTTGGGGCGTAACTTAGCCTAGCCTGCATGTATCATTTTGATAGCAAGTATGAGGTTTTCAAATATATTTTTTAAATATTTTTATGTTTTATCCAGTTACGACCTTGATTTTCACAGGCCCACGTTTTAATTGTCTCTGCATTTGCCCCTCGGAAACTACAAGACCTATTGAGCTATAACTTTGAATGAAAGTTCGATACTATTCCAACGAGAAGAGAATTCCGATTATATTTTAAACATGGCCGTCATCTCCAGAAACCAATTAATTACAATTAATATTTTTGCAGAAACTGTTGAAATTATCATGTGTAGTTTCTAGCGGGGCCTAACATTGTGTGCTCCATTTGAAGCCATCTTATGAATTTTGACCTTGATTCAACCTTTACAGCATATTAATTGGTGTAACCGGAGTAAAATGCTTTCATGGGCAATAAAAATCAAAGTAGCGGCAATACTGATATCTTAGACACTATGCACACTAGCCTGCTGCCAGGTTTCATCAAATTATCAGCATACACTGGGGATCAATGGCAAAGAAAATCAAACTTTTGTTTGTTGTTTAACTATTGCAGCTATATGACGGCGGTCTGTAAATAATCGAGCCTGGACCAGACAATCGAGTGAATGACATCATGAGCATTGATCCACCCAATTGGGATACGATGACATGCGTCAACCAACTCAAGAGAGCCTGACCACCCGACATCCAGTTACGCCTCTTACGACAAGCACAGTTGCCTTTTACAGCAAATGGGTTCTAACCCAGATCTTCATGAAATTGAGCAACATTGAGAGAGGCTGACGATAGGATGGTCCTTGTAAAGTTTCACCATCCAACATCTTTCCATGTCGGGAAACAAACTCAAGCAAGGCCCAAACTGTCCACAGACAAGCACGCAAGGGTCAATTTGTAAGTATGTCAGTTCCCTCCTTGCTGGTCAAGGCCAAAAAAGTAATTGCTTTTGACTGGAGGCGCCAGGGGGGGGGGGGCTCCTTCTAGTAACCAAACCTAATACTAATCTTTACAGTTGAAATACCTTTGCACTTTTACCTTTGATACTGCTTGAGAGATAATCTGAGATTTGGCATGCAGTTTCCTTCTTATGAAGACATTTTGTTCAATCAATGTTTGTTCATAAAATCAACAACAATCAAAGTTTACAAAAAGATCTTGTTCATAACCTTATTCTTAAGAATCACTGGGCACAGGGCTTAAACCTTGTGTGATTATAATATAAGGAGATCCACTATCACAAGTTGCCCTGAAGATCATTGTCCTAAACAATGTCACATCCATTCCCAGAATGTTTTACACCAATTGCTTTGTCCCACTACAGCATTTGTACCAAATTAAGGTTGAATTATCATGAGATTATTAGTAAGACTATAGGTCAGGTGTATTACAGGACCTTGTGTCTATTAAAGGTATCAGTAAGTAAGCAGTAATAAAATGTATTACAGACATAGTTGCTCTTGTACCATTTGTGTTATGTGCCTTCAAAAGAGGACAATACCCACAACACCATTTTATATAGAAATAAAGAGTTTGGGGGAATAAAAGTGACTGTCCTCATCAGTTCCTGTGTATTCCACACTTGTGATATTTAGGGTATGGAATGCAAAGACCATTGGGCCTTTAAACTTTTATTACCTGCTTTACAAAACCTTTGGCCAAAATTAAACATAGTTGGTCAGAAAAAAGAAGTTCAACTTGCAATTTGCAGAATGAAGAACAAGTTTTAACCTGGCAGGAATTTGTGTCATATTTAGACAAAACTCATATGTAACTTGCTACAAATGCTGGAATGTAATATCGAATTAACACCTTCTACTGTAATCACAAAGTGAACACCCTGATGTGCAAGATCGCCACATGTCATGGATCAACTTTGTGAAAAATGGTTAGAGGGTTCGTGCTAAGGTGCTGTCATATCTGAGAGGTGGATGAACAATCCATGAAGGTTTTGCTTGGAATTTTACTGCTCTCAATCAAATGCCAACCACGACTTGAACCACGACATATCACCAAGCAATAGGAAATGAAGGGTTATGTTGACATCTCTGGTGCCAGGCAGGACATTCTCTATTGGTAGTCTATAGATACAGTTCTCCCCTCTTCTTCTCTAGGAGATATGAAGTGGAGAGAAATACACTTGGTTTGGACAACTTCCTGGCCCAGGAACCATTTTCACAAAACACTTGCATTGCTTCTAATTTGCTAGAACGGTCATAGCTCTCATACTTCTCCACAGACTCATTACTTTAGGTATCATACTTAAGGGACATACTGAAACGATTTTGACTTCAGATGTGCAGGAGTTTGTCATCAGTGCTTGGTAGTTTTTGAGAACTAGGAATTTGTAATGTTGTAATTTCAGAAACAGCTCAGGTTGGACTTTGCATATCTCACAAATTTGTAACAAGTATTTGTCACAGAGTGACGAAATATCCCCCGCCTGTACACCATAGTACCAAATATGAAGACAATCCAGCGATTAGTTCTTGAGATATTGTGGCAACACCGTTTTCCAACTCCAAAAACAGATTTGCCTGCTGTGACCTTGAAAATGGGGTCAAGGTCACCAAAACCGACTGGTGTCTGCGGTGTCTGTATATACACCATAGTTCCAAATATGAAGACAATCCAGTGTTTAGTTCTTGAGATATCGCGGCAACACCGTTTTCCAACTCCAAAAGCAGATTTGCCTGCTGTGACCTTGAAAATGGGATCAAGGTCACCAAAACCGACTGGTGTCTGCGGAGTCTGTATATACACCATAGTTCCAAATATGAAGACAATCCAGTGTTTAGTTCTTGAGATATCGCAGCAACACCGTTTTCCAACTCTAAAAGCAGATTTGTCTGCTGTGACCTTGAAAATGGGATCAAGGTCACCAAAACCGACTGGTGTCTGCGGAGTCTGTATATACACCATAGTTCCAAATATGAAGACAATCCAGTGTTTAGTTCTTGAGATATCGCGGCAACACCGTTTTCCAACTCCAAAAGCAGATATGCCTGCTGTGACCTTGAAAATGGGGTCAAGGTCACCAAAACCGACTGGTGTCTGCGGAGTCTGTATATACACCATAGTTCCAAATATGAAGACAATCCAGTGTTTAGTTCTTGAGATATCGCGGCAACAAACAGGTGGGACGTACGGACGGACGTACGGACGTACGTACGGACGGTCGTGAATACTATATCCCCCGCTTCGCGCTTTCGCGCGGCGGGGGATAATAAAGGATCAAATTCTTAAAGAATCGCATTCACCGGTAAGTTTTACCTTTAACTGTGTTGCTGTTGATAAGGCAGAGGGATGCTACATGCTTCACTAACAACAGCTATAGAAGTTACACAGTTCAGCAAGGTTGTAGCTAGAGCCCAAAGTGAGTGACATGGGCTTCATGCGGGGTTGAACTGTATGTCAGTTCCATCACTGCTTGTGAAGCAGGTTGAGACATTTACCATTTCTGTGAGATACAAACAAACAAACAATAAGGTTACTGAGGTATTTGGGGCCAACAAAGTTAGGATATTATCAAAGGGAAATCTGAAATATATAAACACGATCTGTTCTGACTTGGATTTACAGCAATACCCTCAGAGGGCAAGTGTTTAACATTTGTGCTGTCAGCTAAATGTGGGTCAGTCAGCCCAAAGTGATGCAGGCTACATACATGATATATGTTTACTACTAAAAAACCCAAATCATAATTGGGGTGAATGAAGTATTCAAACCCATGACCAGCAGATACTGTCAGCTAAGGGAACAACTCTGCACAGCATATGACAGAGGGATGCAGGACACATGACAGATGTGGCAATAAACTTGGGTCTTCTGCATGACAGAGAATTGAATGAACACACAAATCATCAGGCCAAATGTACGTCCAGTACCCACAAATGTTGAGAATGGATGCAGAAAAAGGACAGGAACATACAATAATATTCATGGTACCTTCAGTGGATCAAGAGCAGTTATGGGTGTCTGTTTGGGGTTTAAATGATACAGCAAGGTCACTATACAATATGTATCACGATACATAGGTCATGATACGATATGTATTGCAGTATGTATATTTATGTTAAATCGCATGGAAAGCTAGCTGTAGACCCGGGTTCGTAGCAGTAATATTTAGTAGTGGACAGGAAACGATTATCAAAACACATTCTGCCGAATTGGACTGACAAAAACGATCATTAAACGAGCAGTAAGTTTTTTAGCAAGTGTATTATTGTCTTGTATCGAAACAGAAAAGAATGTAACATGAAAACTCACAATGCATCGTTGTGGTGTCATTTCATTCATCAATCAGGACCACTGTCCACATAATCACTGATTCATTCCAGGCTCTAAATGTTCAGTACACTACACCATTTCATTACCTTGCAGGACCCTCATATTGCATGCAAGGACCCTTAAAATTAATTATTGGGATCCCCTGGACCCCCACTTTTATAAGTCAAGGTAAAGCCCTGCCAGACTGCCTCATACTTGTCAAGAAAGTAGTGAGTGAATGCTGTTCAATGCTGCAGTCCGCACTATTCCAGCTTTATCACAGCAGGCAGTAAATAAATAAGTCTGGGTCAGGCACACCACAGACAGACTGACCATGCTTCAGGATACAATAACACAATCAGCCAGGTCACACACAACTCTCTTTTGTTGGCTATTATGACAATTCATGGCAACCCATTCTGTTCTGGAATCTCACCGAGGTGTCTATACAGGACAAAAACATACATAGAATGAAAATTATTTTTATTGCCGCAATTTCCACCATGTACATACTCTCTTAGTTTTGTTTTATTTTATGCTCAATAACAAGTGGTTTATGCTATGTGTGACCAAGAAATACATTCACTGGTCAAGGATAAAAAATGAAAAGAATGAATAAAAGCCAATCAGAAGCTTCATGTACAGGCATAAGCTAATGGTCTCTATCATAAAACTGTGAGTACACGCTTAAAAAACCCATCTTATTGTCGTCAGTTTGTTGTGGAGCCAAACATCATAATCATTTGTCAACTTGATTCATAAAACACTATCACACGACATATGTACGCGAACAATAAATATAAAAAAATCAACACCTACCATGAACGCCTACACGAAAAACTACACTGGATACTATAAATAAAACATCAAACATGAGAAATTGATCTTCTACAGTTGACTGATACAGTCTCCACAAAATCCATAAAAAACGTCCTAAAAATCTGGTAGTATCTTGCATTGGGATATTCACTTGATGTCACAGGTATTACCATTTTGTATTCTTAAAGGTTTTAAAAATCAACATAATTACATGAGAGTTGGTCATGGGACAACACGAAAGAATAATGAAGCTTTCATACCCTACAAATAGCACCATTCACAACAGTATCAATATTAAATACTTCCATTCATATATACATACATCCACACATGTACACAGAGGAAATAGAAAAAAACAGGAATGTTTGGCTTGAAATTGTTGATTTACTAATACATGTATTCTTGCTACACGCTTGAAATATTCCCTCTGGTATTTCATATCACAATTTTAAAAATTAAGAATTAATGACCATTAATTCTTTGAATGTGAAAACTAACATGTTTCTTCTCATACTCAATCTGTTGCATAGATTCAATAACTATGAGTGTGAACGAGTGTTAAAGCTTCTTTGAATGGTTTTGAGGTTTTTCATGTTGAATGTGGGAGGGAAGCTACAAGTGACATAGGTCATAGATGTTTATCACAAGGACATGAAACCAAAACAATGGGTATGTGCTGACAGATCAAGACTCAAAGTCAGGTCAAATCTGATCCCACAACCAGCAGATCCTGGCACAGCTAAGGGAGCTAACTGAGACATTGTAGATCCTATGTCCTAAGTGTATGAATGTTGCATGTCCTGAATCTGCAGTTTTGGGACTCACAACATTTATCTAAAAGGGACATATCCATAATTTCAGGTGTAAAATTGGTCATACATATGAACCATTTTCATTTTCAGATGCATAGAATATGAAATGGTTTTTTTTAATAAATAGACTTTAAGTCAAGTGATTATTCTAATTCTCACGAACAAAACAAGGTCTTTCCCCATTGTTCATCACAAAACAGCATGAGGCTAAATAGAAAACAATAAGCTAAAACTGAGCTATACAGATAAAAGATATATCTGCACTCAGTTAAAAAATATAATAATTAAAGTTTAAAAAAACTTTACTGCCCTTCATTATGTTGCTTATGTGGTTCATGTTTCAAAACTATATTATTTTTTTTTCATTGTTATGTTCAGAGGGAAGGGTCTACCCAACACACAAAGAGTGTAATTTCAAGCCAACATTGAAAGTAATAAGACATGACAGATAGAAATGGAAATGTACTGAGTGACAGATAAAGCAAAAACGAGTGATTGACAGATAGGTACTTTGACATCATGGTATACATTTCATTGGATGTCAGAGATTTGGCATAGAATGCCACTATGTACAAATAATACTTTCACAATTGATGTGAAATTGATGACATTTACACACACAACATAAAATTACAGAAAACAAAAAACAACATTAATTAACAGACTGTGAGCACTTTCAGTGACTGCAGTCCATTGGAGTGCAGCGTCATTTGACCAACATAATAAGTCATCGTTCACAAACAAATGAAAGACTTGTTTGTCAACAATGATCAAGTAACAAACAATGCAGATTTGCAAATAAATAGTTTTCACTAAAGTCTACTGGATTTGTGAAGAATGATACTAGAATTTTAGTGTCCGTAGGCCTGTTCGATGTCCCTTTTCTCCTGCCCAGGATTTTGACTTTGCTCGGAAGTGCCGCAGGTCATGACTATGATCTTTATGAAGCATGGGCTTATATGTCTGTGGTTCACATAGTTCCTGAAAGGGGACAGATAAACATCATAAAACTGAGTTCATAGAGAGTACAGTGTATGATCTGTACATCTAAAAGTTTCATCAAACTAATGATTAGAATAAAAAACAAACTGTTTTTGCATTGTTTTCCAGGTAATGATTTACTGTTACTGTCAGCATGGATTTTCCAATATTTCTTGCAAACATACTGATTACACAAAATTGTAATCATTTAAATAAAATAATATGTCATCATAACAAGAAACATATGAGGGGACTCAGATCCAGATCCATGGAGGATTCTCAGATCAATGGCCGATTCCACTTATGGGGGAGATATTGGCGCATGCTCAGATCTTTGGCAAATTATCATATAGTATTAATAATTGGCAATTTCTATGGGGCTAATAGTTGCATTGATTTGTATATCAGCGGACTTTCGATAACCAATGTTGTGATTTCTCGGGAATATTATTATCATTTCATCTTTGGGATTGCATTTTAGTACCTTTCTTAAAAACGTTCCCCAAAGATTCAACAGAGAAGAAATTTCCTAACACCTTCTGTATATTCATCTGATTTGACGGTGTTGACAAAATCCTGAATATTTTCACCCTTGCCCATTTTGGATTCAGAGGCTTTATGTGAGTAATTTCTTGAATTTTTGGAAAATAATTTTGAAATGATTCGGCATTAGGGTCTTTCGGTACTAGTTTCTCCCTCTACCAGCATGAAACCCTCACAAGAAACCCTTCTTTTTCTATGGTGTCTATCGGTAATAGACGCTAAACTTACATGACGTCACCACAGGCAAGGAGTCATCTCAAGCATGATGTCATGTAACAATTGAACTGATTGTCCGTTCACGGATAAAACATCATTGCAAACATGACGTCATATAACAATGAGAATCTGCCAAGGATCATAGAGTCCTACATATGTGCCCAAGTTCCTTCAGTATGACAATTCCAGAGAAGTTCAGCTTATTTGTATATTCAAATATGAAGTTTGAGAAAAAAATTGAACATAGTCAAAATTTATTGATATAAATAAGTGGAAAATATGTGTGCTGAAGCCCAAAACAAACTTAACAAATACAAAAAGTTTTTACATTTTGTACATCAATGGCTGAGTAATGTCCATAATTAAATATATATTTTAGCTGTGGTCTTTCATCCTTTATTTTAATAAGTAAATTTCTTAAAAGAATTGTCCATCTTGCCTTTAATTATCTGTAAAACAAGTAATAAACCTGTGCTTGCCTAACCATGAAAATAATGTTCTGATATTTAAAAAGAAAAAGAAGTGATTTGATCATAGTACAAGATTCTCATTCAGTAATGTTTTAAACATTGAGTGTAATATTCCTTGTTGATCTATCTGTCACAGGTTGTCAAGACTGAGGTGAGATCCTGTTAGTCACTGTACCTGGTGCTGTTCATAGAAACACTTGTATCCGCCCTCTAGGAGGTACAACTCTGGGTAGTTCAAAAATGGGTAGACGTCCTTGTTGACCTCACGATCTCTGTTACGTAAGAACCGAGATCTGTGGACATAAAGCACTTATTATTAATACTGTGATGATTAATGATCAGTAAACTCTGAATATCATACATTATCTCACTATCAGTTCAACAATGCTGCAATCTCAACAGACGACCAAGCATATGAAGGTTCTTTGTGACATAACTTGATACAGTATACAAATAACCTTAATCTTTATTTCCAAAACTTCATATTGAAACATAGCCCACTTTGAAAGTAACAGTAAACAGTTTGTACATTGTGTATATAAAGATTATTATAAGAGCATGTGTGTAGAAAACCACAATGGTCGAACGACAACAACTATCTTCAGCTATGACGTCGTTTCTAGTGTGATGTCATTCCGACTTTATGTCACAATCATATCATTCGAATGACGTCAACAATAACGCTGGGATGAAGAAAGCAATACAGTGGTGCGCATGGAGTGCTATTTGCACTAGTGCACATGCAATTGTTGTGAACTCTGTTATTTCTAACCCTACAGGTTAGAAATAATAAATATATACAGTAAACTATGGTCATGACAGAGACAAAGTTAATCCCCAAAAAGACAAATTGGTCCACATAATTGCTAATAATGTCATGTCTGGAATAGACTGTTGTTTATTCTACTACTAACAGAGTCCACTAGTGACAAAACATGTAATAGTCTACTTACAGGTTGGGCCCTCTTTCTGATGAAAATTCACAGTGAAATATAACTATTTGTCGCTTGTTGGGATCAGAAACCATAGCAGGCTTGTTTATAAATTCTTCTAGGATGGAATCTTTGGTATACAGGTTCTTTGCTTTCTGAAAAATGAAAAATAGTCTATTTGTTACAGTGAGTCATATACTGGCAGTTTGTCCTGATGTAAAACTATGGACAATTTATAAGTATAACATGAACAAACCTTTTCACATTGAAACACATTGATAAAAAGACAAAAATAGTACATAATTAATTGGATTGTGTCAGGCTTAACATCTAGCCAAAGGTGTCTGGATGTGATTCTTGGGCTGACTGATATATAAGCATTCTTTCTTACACAAGTGCGCAAGTATGCCATCGGTGTTGCTTCTATTTGTGGAAATTTAATTCTGTCTATATAATTTCATTTATTATAATTGTTAATAAAAAAAGAACTAGAAAAAATATTAAAAAAAGATACTGACGAATGTCAGATTTGAATTCTTTTCTTAACACAAAATCCTTAAGAATGAGTGAGTTTGGTTTTACGCCACTTTTAGCAGTATTCCAGCAATATCATGGCAGGGTACACCAGAAATGGGCTTCACACATTGTATCCATCTCAGGAACCAATAGGCTACCCGACTGCCCCTTTAAGAATGATGTGAAGTGAAATGGGGTTTAACGTTGCATTCAAGATTATTGCACTTATATAGCGATGTGCATGCATGTGTGTGCATGGCTGCTTGTACTAGTCCGAAATAATGCCAATCATATAGTGCTTGCTTACTGAGTTACCATGCCGCAGTTTAACTTGTATACTGACTCCTAGCCCACCAGTCTTTGTTTTAATACCTTAATGCCGAGCACAAGGCAGGGTAAAAACAAGTACCATCTTTTAACGCTCTATCGACTAGATCACGGGGGGGTAAAAAATGAGGAGGTATTATGCACATCAGATGAGCAAAACAATATTACCACATATTATCTCTGCAACATACCTGTATATGGCCTCCCTGATACTCGTATGGATACCGACAGTCCACGATACAGAAGTCACTCACTATGTGGTCAAACTCATGGTTCAGCACACGACTCATCTACAAAACAAAGACATGGTCACTGAAACTAGTGGATACCACCATTACAGGACTCTATTTAGCTATATGAAGCATACGGGAGAGATTTCAAAGTTGTCAATGAACCTGTGACAACTAGGTGTTCAAGTGGGGCTTGATTCAAAGGTGATGATTATGAAGATGTGTCGAAGAGATACTGAAGTAAATTCATAGATTGCTCAACAATGTTGTTGATTGTCACTGTCAGTGTAGGCATGAAGCAAGTTGATAGTTTGTGTGTCATGTCTTGATTTTGTTCACTACATGGGTTGTAGCAAGAATATTTGAACACAGGTGTGCAGTCAAATACACTTTCCCATGTAGGCAAAATGCTGAGTTCAAGATTAAAGTTGGAAATGAGGAAGTAGTCAGTCATTTCAAGAATCGGTCTCGTGAAAAACATATAAACGTCAAAATGTTCCATGGTCATGTGACCAGTCCAATGGACAAACCGTATATCGTATAAACTTCACATTTTGATGATTGTTCTTCAGTGAGAATGTATCCAAACCTGACCAAAGCCCTTAGGTTCCCATTACACAAATAGACATTAACAATTGTTTTTCAATATTAAAAAAACGGGAAAGAGTTTGGTATGTGTTTGGTATGATTTTGTAAATGAAAATTGTGTTGGTCTGTCATCAAACTTCATCCAAAAATCAAAAATCAAATGTCCTTCACAGTGGTTTTCTATTTAATTTATCTCTAGTCATTACCATACCAAGACTAATTACTCATGCAAAGCATAAGAAAGAATACATACTGTTTCTGGAGATATTCCCTTGAGATCTTGATGTTTGCCTGGTATTGTGGGTAGACAGTATGGCTGAGGATGAAGAAATACACACAAAATATAAAGCACTGAAACTATCCACATTTTGGGTGGAAAGCAATTGAATATCATGTCTGAATGCTGTTTTCCATAACCAGCTTAATATTGATACGTCTGAGACCTGCTACCACTTAGGGAATTCCTCCCATATTGAGCTGATATAACTGGAATACTGTTAAAAGCAGAGTTCAAAACAGCTCACTCCAAAATTGTTAAAATATGTGCACAAACTGGTACTCATCCATTTTCTAACTTTGAATTCACTCTGATAGTTAGTGTGTTATATAATGGTGTTGTCTTAAATTAACACAAATTTGGGATTCAGCTATTTTTTACTTGTTTTTTCAAAAACAAAACATAATACATGCGCACAGTTTTCTTCAGTGTATTCAATAAAACCTAGTAAATATGGCACAACACTACACAGGTTCAAAACAGGGTATGCATCTTCAACTTCAATCTTTGTTAGATCTTGAACAAAAAGAACCCACAAACTGTAAGTACCAATCAATGAACTAGCAGTAGAAATGTTCACAGGAAGATTATTCATCCAACAAGATACATTATATACAAACTGAGTTAGGAATTGATTTCAAATAGTGCTTTTTCCTAATTTGCTGCTGTTTTCATAGCTCATAGTTTTCTTGCGTGAAAGTACTGCACTGCTAGCATGTGATCACTCTGTTGTTTACCTTGGAGCAGTCCCCAATGAGATCAGGCTCATCGTTCAACCTGTTGAGAGCAGATTTAATCTGAGCCTCAGTTTCTGAATGACAGCGATGTAGTTTCATGTATGGGGGTTTCTGAAAGACAAAAGTTGTATTGAGAAAAGCTGCAAGTTATTGTGACCCTTTTTATTTGTATATATCAAATTACAGCTTTATCATTCATTGGAGAGTGTCAGTTGTTCACACAAGCCTACTGAAATGAGGGAATTGACAGACAACTCAACCGATCAGGAATTGGCTTGTATTTTGTGTAAGAACTTTAGAACTTGCTTGGATTGAATGTCATCCAAAATGTCCTCTGTGTTTGTCCAAACTTGGAAATGATACAGGTGATAAAATCATGGAAAAGGCCTGATGCCATTTGTCTCTAGTAAAATCACTGATTTTAACTCTTGTGTTGTCCTTGTCACCAAAACTGACCTCTTGAACTGGTGCAACATAAAAAGAAGGCAAATCTGCCATACACTCTGGTCGATGCCTTTTGTTTTGAACCGGTGTTGCTTCATCTCGTGGTCGTTCAAGTCGCTTGTGAGAAAAGGGCCGAGATCGGACATCAAAGGACTGAGATCTTTGCAGGAGAGATTTTCTTGACATTGTTCTCCGTGACTGAAATTATATGTTTCCATGTTTCATCAAATGTGACTAATGATTTGAGGAAGTAAATAAATGAGGTGAAAGTAACCAAATTATGACAACAACATGGCATATATCGGTAGTCCACCAAATCTATGCAGATCTTGCACATCTACAAAACGGACAGAAACACAGACAACAGCGTAAATACTTACAACTGGGGTATCATCATCTTGTACGTGGCTGTCCTTGTTGAGGACAGGGGCACAGAATAGACTAGCCATACTATCGGGAACTGGCTCGGTGATCTGGAAAAGTCCAGAAGAAACACTACAGATCTGAAACCTTAACAGATCTTTATAATAACAAAATAATAACAAAACTATCATATACTGCTACTGGTGGATGTAAAGGCCATTCAGGGTGTGTGCATCTTTCCTTTTCTCATATCTTTCATGTGACCCTGTGTCAGTCTATTTTGTATTTTTGTACACCTCATGATTTCAGCAAGGTGAACCCCACACCACCTTTATCAAACTCAGGTTTAGAACTTAACAATAGCCCTCTAAGCCAGGGGCTAGTACAATTTTCCATATTTCCCGATTGTTTTAACACAGCGTTTATCTTAAGCCGGGCTAGGAAAGCTTTTGAGTTTAGTTCTAATCCTGATATATTGTTCTAAGTGTAACCAGAAATCGACTTAGTTACTTGAAACTAAGTCATGACATACTGAAGGAAAGGTCATTCATATTTACCTCTGCAACTTCCTGGTCAAAGACGTCAAGGAACCCATCATCGATATCATCATCAGTGCTGGCAAGAGGTGATGACTTAAGATGAACAGGACTACCAAATGGTTCACCCCTTTCCTCTGGTGACTACAAACAAGAAAAAATATTGCTATGAAGACCGCCTTTAATTGTGTTTTTTATTTTTTTCAAGAAATTGAGAGAGAAATCAGCATGATCTAAGTGAGATTTTATTAGAATGCCCGCAATATTAAGGTAGGCACAATTAATGATAGATGCCACTCACACCCATTACCCATAAATTCCACATGAACCCAACTCAGTTGTTACAAGCAAATTGACCCGTGTAGATCCGGGTAGAGAATAGGTCTTCAGTAACTCATGCTTGTCGTAAGAGGTGACTAACTAGATCGGAGGGTCAGGCTTGCTGACTTGGTTGATGCATGTCATTGTATCCCAAATGCATAGATCAATGCTCATGATGTCAATCACTGGATTGTCTGGTCCAGACTTGATTATTTACAGACTGCCGTCATATAGCTGGAATATTGCTGAGTGCGGCATTAAACTAGAAACAAACAATCAAACAAACAAATGCTTTAACCATTAGGCCTAGTTGGCATAGAGAACCATGATGTAACTTTGAGATTGAAAGTAATTACTTAGACCACAATAAGAATAAATAATAAAACATTTCTCCCCACCGACTTCACTATCCAACTCCCTGATTCACATGATTTTATTGTCCCCAAGTTCCTACAGTCATAAATATTGCTGTGTATCTCTTTCTTTCTTTGCTTGTTGAAATACACTGTACATACATTCATAGTCCTACCAAACATTCAGTCTGTCCATCAATCACATCCTTTGACAGTTAATGTACACAGATGCCTTAATTAATTTAAATAAAAAATACAATGCCTTCCACCACACATTTTTTTAACATTTGGGACGAAAATTTTCACAATTAATTTATTTAGAAAGTTTTTCGAGTCTTAAGACAAAACTGGGACTCTAGTCACGAAATGCTAAATGTTAAAATACCTGAAAGGACTGAGAGAAAGATCTCTTTTTGGACGGAGACTTGACAGGAGAATATTTCTGTGGGGAACATGTGTCTTCATTAATTATTTTCAACTTTCTTGGGGGTACTCCCACTGGAGCAGCAAACAGGAAGCGTTCATCCTGAAACACATTCATAGTAAAATAACATGATGTAAATTTTGCACCAAATAATTTCTAACTGAATATTTTGTCATTTGCCAAAAAGTTTACTTAACATATGTGCTTCAGCAATACAGATTTTGTGTAGATTTTCAACAAACAACCATGAGTCAGGTGAGTACCTTTTCTCTGTCAAAACCCAGGCCACTATCCTGTGAAGATGTGTCTTCAGGGTCGAAGGCAGGGCGGTCACAGTCCAACATGCATTCAATAGGTTTGGGTGAACAGGAGTTTTCTTTATCTTGGAAGTCAGTTGGGCTGTCAAGACGCATAGTCGGCAGCTGGGAAAGAAAAACAATAAAAAATGCACATGAAATTATGCAACCTTTCAGTTAAACAATAAGAAATGGGCTTCGTACAAATATATACAATAATAGAGGATTGAACTTGGACAATCCAAGTTTTTGCATGATATGCAAATTCCCTGACTGCTATGCTGCTCAAGTAATCAAGATAACAGTCTGAGACTCAATATCCTAAAGATGAATCCCTGGGATTCCTTCCATGTTTACCACACAATATCACAAATTTCTTTACTACACAAAAACGTTGTGGTATTCCTTTGTAACAAACTACATCCAAGTCATACTTACAGGCAGTGAGTTTATTCTCCTGAAGGCAATAGTTTTCCTTCTGCAAAAAGAAACAACAATTACACATCTATCATTTTCAAAACATTATCCACTCCTTGACAAGTGACAGACACTGATGTCCATTTATCTTGATAACAACACCATAACAATTATTATATTTACAGGTTGTCACCTGTTTAAAATTTACTGGACCCTAGGGCGTGTAATAAGACAGTAATAACCCTTAGCATTATTTTACACTATGTCACAACAGTTATCATATAATACTGAGCTTAATAATTTAGGACACCCTAGACAATAGTCCAAGTGATTAAGCATGATGGATGTGACAGGACATTGCTCACTTTGTGTATGCCTCTGGTGGGATGTCTGGGTTGGTCTTCAGTAAACTGCCAAACCGATTCAGGCTACAACAACAAAAAACACCAGTCAGTAAAACTGTCAAATAGTCAAGTGAGACAGTGAGGTTTGAAATGGGTTCTGTCAAGCAGCATGCCCTCTGCTCAAGAGTTGCACTTCTGCTAACAAGCACCCTCTCTGGTCAGCAGTTGTGTGGACAGACACAAAACATCATTCAGCTGGCCCCATAAATCAAGATGACCACTCTCTTGTAATGTCCCTAGGGGATATCCTTGGCTATCATTCTCAGACATCCCTCTTTGTTGCCTCATGTTGCTGCTTGAACAAAATTAGTTACAGACAGCATCTGCTTGCAACAACTGAGTGGTCCTTGTTTCCAGTGACACAAATTCATCACTGAAGTTATTACATATTCTGGAGAAACCTATTACTGGTTATCAATGGGTATTTTGCCTACAAAACAGCATTGTATATACCTTTCAAACAGTTCTTCTTGAACTTTGAAATCCTAAATAACTTTGAAATAAATATCTAGTATTACTATCACTTTTAGTAATCATAGTTTTCCTTCATTCTGCATTTCTTGAAATATAAGAACAGACATGAAACATCCCAAAGTAATGCTTGAGTGAGTTTCCCAAGGCTCAGCAAGTGACAGACGCAAAATCCTCGCTACAGGCACATCAAAGCTTTCAGTCACCCAGAATCCAATATTGTCATCTGCATGCTGAGATACTATGAGCAATTGCTTTTAGTTCTTTATTCCTCATCAAATTAGTAACTTGTAAACAGTCATACATGACTTGTTGTCTGCCAGTGGACACAATATTGTCAGGTTGCAGACACAGTTATTGTTTTTTGTCACACAATAGACATAAATCTTGGCTCAAATGAAGAAAAGAGCACATGACCATGAGATTAAGGAAACCAAATTAACTGATGGCATGAAATAAAAAAAACAAGATATTAATTATCCTGAAAGCAATCATCCTGCCGTTTTGTGCAACTTAGCATGGTTAGGAATAACATAAAAAATATTTTAAATCAGCCAAATACAATCAAAATTCTTCTTGATCACATAATAATTAATGATGAACAAATATAATTATATATATATTATTCAAACCTAAAAAGAGCATTTCCCAGGGATTCCATCTTTAGGATCTTGAGTCTCAGACTGTTATCTTCAAATGAACTCATCAAAGATATATTCTTGTAACACAAAACCTCTTGATAAGACAACTAATTGAAGACCAATGAGAATTCCCCAAGTCATGAACAACAAATCTGACACTTGTATGAGGCATGTGAAATATCACAATGTTCCCAAAATATCAACAAGTCTGATTGAATATGTAAAAGATCTCACACACTGCTATGGTTTAATCTCTTGAAAAAGTTCTTAACACCCTCATATGAAAAAGTCAAGCTGTTTGGAACAAGTTTCAAAATGTTTTCAATACAGTTGCCATCTTGTCATTTCCCACCTGGGTAGAAAACAGTCTGGGTTGAATTCTGAATTCAAAAGCACCTGAAATCTGGTAACAGTTCCCACCAAAAGTTTCACACAAGTTCCTCAAGGGGTGAGAAAATCTTGCAACAGGGTGGGAGCAAGGATATGCCAAGGTCACACCCTGGTGACTCTTCACACATCTCATTAACACATTCAGGTTTAATCCCAAGTTTACTTTGAAAATTCCACCAGAAAATTAGTCCCCGGGAACCCTGTGTGATTCAATCAGGCAATGAGTAACAAATCCTGAATAGTGAAATTAGCCTGGACTGAGGTGAGAGAGAGGCCCAGACCTGAGAACGTCCTGCAGAGATCTTTTGTCCCATGCACCCAGTTAATAGATAATTGTAGCCTTTGACTGCACACTGTCACAGCCATGAGGACAAAAGATTACTGGGTAGGACAATAGCTAATGCTGAAAATACCCTGAAGTCACACAAAAAGGTAGACTGTGTGAGAACCAACTGTAGGTATGTGGTAGGAGTTGGGACAATGGACAATCAGGCTGGGTTAGACCTACTGAGGTTCAACCACAGACAATGGTGAACATTTTTACAAGTGTAATAATGTTAGGACTCAAGATCAAAGGGAGGGAAAAACACTTGATGATACAAAAGATTCATTGGCTTACACTTTTCTCAAAGCTGAATTAGCTTTTTAAAGGTAATGGTGCATGTGTAATTGATCAGTTTGGATGTAACAAGCCATCCCCTTTTTATTACCTGAGTGTTTACAAATGTTTTGACTCTTTTGGACCAAACAATTTTTTCTATTGATATTGGGTAATTCCAATAATGTCCTACTGGGCTTAATGAAAGAAATTTTTAGATAAAAAACCTAAGTAGATAATGACTGACTAGATAAAATGTAATGTTACAGAATCAAAATATCTTTTGGTTCTTGCCCTTACAGTCTGTCGATGAATATACATCCAGAAATTCAGAATTGTTTTGGTTATTATTTCAAGAGAATCAGACATCACACATGATCTCACTAACACTTCACTGAGTTATTATCAGTCATTTCAAAAATGTTTTGTCTGACAAAATCAAAATCTGGTATGATCAGAAATGAGCACCAAGTCTGATAGCTAATCGCATTTGCCGAACACAATGATAAAATCTATCACAAATCTCTGCATTTGAAGCTGTCTTCTCATTCTTTATTACTATTTAGACTTGAAGAGAGAAATACTATTCCATAGTTCCTCCTTCCACTATGCAATTTTAGTGCTACAATCATCGCAAGTCCATGTCAAAGTATGGGAGATATGATCCACTTATTTATATATTCCAATATTATGTTATTTTAGTTGCAGCTTAACTATATATTTAAAATAATAAATAATAAATAACCATAAGGGTAGCACTAGCTGATCGCTATTTTGCTGGATATATTTTACGTATGGAACAACATAACCAGTCACCGTCAAGGATCCCACGCTCGCACTCACAAAAACTATGTAGACATATGAAAGTCAAACTACAACAAATATGACTTTTAAGGAGTCAAAGTAGTGCAGATATGTATCCATTTCCTGTCAACTAAAGTTCGTCTCAAGGAATCAATAATGGTAAATCACAGTAAGTTGTGTGATCTACAGATTTTGAAGAAATTAATGTAACGATATTGAATGAAATTTTGAATAAAATTAATAAAATAGGTCACAAACAAGTCCAGATATACAATGAACACCTTTTTTGTAACCAGACAGTGTAATTACATGATTAATTTGCGTGCTTCAGTACGGATTTGTTGATATAGTATTTCCGGTGTTACGTGCTCACGGTAATGTCTCTGCATTAGGGAAAAAACATCAAAACTCATTATGGCATGTATAATGCGCACCCCCTTAACACAACTGTGTGTTTTGGAAACAAAATGTGCACCATACTCAAGAAAATATGCTGCTTGAAATCACAATATAATTTTTGGCAAATACGGCTATAAACGAATGTTCTACGGTTTTCTACCGTACATGTATGTTGTGATGCATATCTGATACAATTTCAAAATTAACCACCATCGCCTCATGCATATTTTCATCCGTACTAACACCGATACAGCCTTTATCTGGAGCCTTGTAAGTTGATTGGTTTATATGGATCAGGAAGAAAACAAAGTCAAACCGCTACAATTGTTGTCAGGATATATATATATATATATATAACACCAAATGTATACTGTTTCAAATTTTTCAGCAGGTTAATATTAAGTTTCATGACATTCCACCATTTGATATGTTCACTCTATATATTACACTCTATAGTGTCACATCAGTGGTAGCAACAGGACATCACAATCCAATATTTCTTACTTCATGAAAAAGACCCCATGGTGGGATTTCTGACACTCAAAAAACCTTTCCAGTCCCTCTTCAAATTATCTGAACCATCAGATTACATAACCACTTTTGTAATCTGCCCAATCTACAATGGTGAACAACCTACACTAAGCCAGTGTTACATCTGCTATAGTTCTAACCCAGTGGTGTAAAGCATGTTTCATTTCTATCATCATTACAACATGATTAAAGTGAGTTATCAAGCCCCAGATCTGCCATAATTTGGGTCCCAGCCATCCCTGGAGGAGGGGAGGTGGATAGATAACCAGACCTAGCTGCCATAGCCTACCACCCACTGGTTCAGGTTGGCTTCACTAGAGTTAGGTAACCAGGGGCTAAATGATCCTGGGAAATTACCACCTAGGCTGGATAGGGGCTGGATTGAAGCTGACTAGAACCTTGCTGGGGACGACCCCCATGAGGTGGTCTTTGTTACTTTGTCCTTGGGTCTGAGTCTTGTAAACAGGGCTAGAGTCATCATTGCATGACAAATGGCTTTTTGAAAAGTCCTCTGCTACTCCAGAATCGTTCACACCGAGCTCCTGATAGCTCCAGAATGAAGCAATACTGGCATTTGGCTAAGCTTTCAACACAAGAGGACTTTTAGATTGGGGATGGAGGTAGTCATTTGGCTGGGTGACTGGACGGACAATGTCATAAACTTGAATGGAACAATACTAGATTGGAGAGAAAGGAAATGGAAATATTGCCTACTTCTGAACTAATCCCTGTTATTTGCAGAGCTGTCAGTGTAACACACTGTAATGTTGAACCAAAAAAAGTTCAACCCAACACTGGCTTAACAGAGCTCCAGATAAGCTTTTGGTGTTGTGGGTTTTTTACCCATGCATTTTAAAATCATTGGTTATCAGTAATTCTATCTGCGCATTCAAATTTCTGTTACCCACTAGTTTTTACACATGTGGGTATTTAAGTTAAATATTTAAAAACACTATTCATCTAGTCCCTACAAACTGGTGTTGTGTGGGTTCGAGAGCTTTATAGGACTAAAAAATACCACGATACTTCCACAAGAAAGTGTGATGGCAAATGATCATGATGTAACTGTCATCGTGGAGTTTGGCAAGGTTGACGGAATGCCCGTTATAATTTCAAAATAAGTTGCTCATTTGCTAATCGAATACGCAGGGTTACTTCACAATATTTTGATGATACGCACAAGTTTTATT